ACCCACCCTCCTTACTCGCTTTATTCCCAGCACTTATGTCTCCTTATTCTTGCCACTGCAGTTTTGTTGTTCACGGACACACAAAGATGCTCCTGTGTTATCTTGGAGATGAGAGACGCCATGCAGTGCACTCTCTCCTTTATCTCTTTCCCCACGGCACATAAGACTCCTTTTATGTATCATTTGTATCATGCCAACGCACACTCAGAGATGCACAAACACGCTCAATGCACACAAACAATGTTTCATGGTCTCGAGCACTCACAATTGCAGGCTGGTGCAAACAGCAGGAAGATGATTGGTGCGTGTGAATGTGTGTGTGGAAGTTATTGAGGGAGGGAGAGTGAGAGAAACTGAAGAAGTGTGAATCCCTTTGCATTAAAAAGCACTTAAACTTCTTGAAAACTCTAACTGCTTTTAAGTTTGTGACCTGAAAATGAATTTGAAGCTCCTGTTGCTGCATCATTAGCCTTCTAAAACTCTGCTAAATAGCTAGACACTCTGGAAAGTGAAGATATCTGGCAAACTATGAGCCCTTGCTTGTTAATTTATTGATAACCTAGTATTTTTCATGTTGCGAGAAAAACATATCGTCCTTTTCATCATAAAAAGCTGCAAATCAGAAAAAGTCTGTGTTATTAATAATCAATGTCTCGGTTATTTAAATCAGACGAGACGTCATCTGAACCTAAAATGATGGCCAATTACCAGCACCAGTTATTTTACCATTTAAATCAATGTGCTGTTCTCCTCAGCACAGTTTACTGAAGTTACTCTCAAATGCTCCAAAGGTTGTTTTTTTTTAAAAAAGATTAGCTGAAACCCCTCAAATCTAAATCTCCAATAGGTTGGGAAAAATCTAACAAACCACCAACGCTATGTTTTTTGCCCTCTAGGTTTTTTGGGTTCTAAAATGTTCCAAATTGCAAATCTCTGTAAGCAAAAATACAGACAACAGTTAACATAATGCCTCTAAAGTCATGTGTAAAAGACAATTTTCACAAGGTTCTATGTAGTCCTGTGTAGAAATAAGTAAACCCCTTAAACCAATAGGAATTAACAGGGTAAGTAGAACTGAGGTGCTGCTCTGTAGAAGCAGAGGTAGTAGTTCATGCTAAATAACAAAACAATAATCTTTATTTAAGACATCTTGGATGTGCTACCACACAGCAGGCTTATTATTTGACAGATCATTTCATTAAATGGCACCAATACTACAAATGTGGACTGTAGAGAAGTCCAGTACAGAGACACACTGCTGGCTACAGTTGCCTGTCTTGGCACTATTGTGTGTCAAAGTGACCCCGGCCCTAAAGTTAAACCTTCACAAAACCCAGCGGGTAAGTTAAAAAAAATCCACCAACTCGAGTTGTTGTGAAAGAGAGCATCAGTTCTTAGAGCAGTGTTGTTCTGTTATGGCAAGCAAGGCAAACAGCACTGCTTGCCCAGTGTAATCTAAATACAGACATCAATTAAAACAAACATGAAGTAATCTCTCTCCTTGCATCTCAAACAGCCATGTGTCTCATGAGCTTCTCTCACTGCCTGCGAGACAAGTTTCCCATCTTCTTGCCATCGTTGGCTATTGCCTCTGGAAGCAGGCTTGACTAAACTTATAATGTTTATCATTCAAGACAAGCTGCAGAGACAAGCTCTGTTTTCACTGAGATTATTTACGAGCTGTGTTGTGTGGAAATAAAGCTTTCATTAACAAGTAAACAAGCCCTCCGTCATCCTAACATACACATTTTCTTTTAATAACCACCTTGGCAATGTGTGATGTAGAGCTATTAGAGCGTAGTCTGAAAACGTTTTTTAATAACCTCTTAGGCATGTTAGTGAGGAAAGTCTGGATAATGGAGCGGTATACATCTCTACTTTCATAAAACAGGCAAGCTGAGAAGTTTCAAATGAGTTCCTGCTTGCCTTTCTATAAACTCACCCTATGCCACTGCTTTAAAGACAAAAAAAATTGTGCCAGGCTGTACACATGTTCATTTCTACTGTTAAGTTGGCATGGGGATGGACTTGGTTTCAGAGCCATGGCCACACCAGGAACTACAGTCTCACATCTGACTCTTTACACATTTACCATCGATTTGTAACACAATAATGTTACTTCCCTTCTCTAAACCGATTCATTAGGTTTAGATCGAAATGAATCAAACCTGTGGAAGCATATCTGGAAATCATGGCAAACAGAAGCCATTTCTACACAAGAACTATGCACAATGTTTGGAGAATCAGGTCGAGACATTGTCTAAAGTTGCCTGTTCTCACATGTAGCACACAACAGAAGGCAATTTTATCCGTGCCAGATGCATTCTTTTACTGGAAATACTTCTGCTTTTGGGATAAATGTTCACTGGATGATCATTGGCTAGTCTCACATCTGTACAACACATCACAGGTCCATCACAGTGACTTGGAATAAGGAAGCTAGCATTGCACACATTTAGTGGATCCTATAAATAGGCTCACCGTTGGAGGTTGGGTGGCTGTCTGATCAAAACCATTTTACAACCAAATGTTAATCAAGTGTTGAATTAATAGCCAGTGTGTTGTGATCGCTTGGTTATTTATTGGTCCAATAGCTTCATGACAGGAAGATGGAGGTATTGATAATGATGATAAGGACGATGATGGCATAAAAAGGACTTTTCCCCCCACTAATCTGGCAAATGCTGGAACATCAGTACCACTAGGTTATTTACTTGTGTGTGTGTGTGTAGTCTCAGAGTTGTGTTAATGTTGTTACCATAATGGCTAACTCTTGACATTTCTCCATCCCGCTGTTTCTGAAAAATGTTCTAATTTATTCGACTAGTACATCCTACCATTTTCTGTAATACTCTCTGTCTCTCTCACTAGTGAATAACATTTAAAAGGTATACAGTGTACACATCTGTACCTCTCTCACATGTTTTCTGCTTCCAACACTGTGACACTATACAAGCACTATATTCCACCAATTTTGTCTTTCTCTTTCAGATGACCTCATGAAGGATGTTTAGGTATGTGTGTGTCAGAGTGAACATTCGTGTGTATCCATCCATCCCTGGGGCTCACATCAAGTGCACTGGCTGCATCAGTGGACTTCATTATTGCTAATAGCCAGGGATTTACTCTTTTACTCCTAGTTTGTTCCATTGTTCATTAACCTCGGTTCATTTAGCTTTGGACCGACTGCCTGTCAGGGATGGAACTGTTTCACCCAAAGTTACCAGTCTCAAAGTAAAAGGGCATATTTTTTTGTTTGTTTTTTAAACTCATGTTAATCCTGCACTTACAGTTCTCCTCTGAAGTTTACATACACTCATCATGAGAATAAATCACTTATCATTTTGGTGATTTTTTTAAACTGTTCTTTTTCCAGGCTGGTACATCTTAAATATAAAGCTCAATAAGTTTTAAATTTATTTTGGATTCTGGGTCCAAAGTATGCACGCAGACTCAAATATATACATACCCTAACATTTGATTAAATGTCCCTTAAGAAGTTACACCTTGACCAGCTGCTTTTGGTAAAAAAAAAAAAAAAGAAAGAAGCTTGTGGCATAAATATTAGACCACTCTTTTATGGTTTTCAGGGTTTTTAATCGCTTTTTATCGTTATTTTTTAATCGTTAACTCGGTTTCCTGTGCGTTATGAATAAATCTTTTTTTGGGAGGGTACTGGTACTGGTTTTATTTTGTTGTATTTATCTGCGACACCTTAAAGGCCGGTCCTTTAAAATATTGTCGGACATAAACCGGTCCGTGGCGCAAAAAAGGTTGGGGACCGCTGGCTTAGGAACACCATGGAAATGGAGATGCTGGTCTGGACATTGCTGCTTAGACTGTTGCCCCATAACATAGAACCAAAAAAATGGATGGATGGATGCGTGGATGGATGGATGCATGGATATCTAACATTAAATACAACAATGGATAAGGAAAAATGCTTTTTATAACAAGGAAAAAAGCAATTACTTGGAAATCTATTGCATGTGTTAAAAGTGAGAAAAGCTGGAGGCTAAAACAATAATAAACTCCTCTAAATGAGCGAAATCTCTCCATTATGAAGTTACATTCATCAGCGATTAATGACAGCCCAGCAGCATGCTGTGGCCTGTTGCTTTGGCTGGGTGTGTCATAACCCTTAGGCTGCAGTATCATCCAGCGAGGCCCTCCGTTGGTCAATCAAATGAGTTCATCCAAAGACAGATTCCTTTGCAGTGTACACAAAGAGCTATTTCTCCTTTCTACCCTGCAACTCTCATGATCAAAGATTTTAAAATACAGTAACTTTCCAGAGCTTGAAAATGCTGTTTTGGCATCTGATGAGGTTTTAAATTCACAAATCAACAAATTAAATTTTATGGATTTTATTTCATTTTTCACAATTATGTAGCTTTCTGTGTTCTGAATGTACATTTATGGTGTAACATCTTTAATGAAGTGCTTACTGGATGAACATGCAGTGGGTCTGTACAGTGTCTTTTATGGAATATTGCCTCTGGTGAGGCAAAGGTATATACTGCTGCAGACCACAGAGCGTCCCTATAGCCACAATTCATTATGTTGGTTTAGAAATATTAGTATAATCTGAACTGAAACTGTAAAAACCTTCAGGCAACACACGCAGACCTTTATTATTTCACTTTATATTACTATTAAACAAATCTGTGGGGAAATAATAAAGAAGTTGCCGCATGTACTGTGCTACAGTACAGGCACTTTGCACTGGCAGTGCTTCAAGTTGTAAGGATGCGTTGGCCATTCTTGCTCCCGGCAAATTTGTACTTCACAGTTAAAAAAAAGTCACATGGCCCAAAGCCATAACTCATAAATGTATTTAGTGCCTGCATTTGGTAACTGCACCACAGTTACAATCAATTTAAAACACTAAAAAGCTGAAGTTACAGTTGTCCGAACGAGACAGGAATATGTTGTGAGACTGTTTTTAAAGGTAAAGCATGCATGTACTTACAACTGACTCTTTGTCTATCTCTTACCAGAACAGTACCAGCTGAATAACTCTGCTTATGGACCATTTGGACAAGGGCTTCCACAGCCTCACAGCAACCACAGCGCAGTGGGACTGAACAAATACACCTCCCTCAAAGCTGTGGGTAAGTCTGACACAAATACATGCTAAATGATGCTTATTTCAACTGACATTTCAACCTTTACAGTACAAGTTAAGAGTACAGGAGCTGTCAGATGATGAAGGGTCCCTTTACTTCGTGGAAAGCAGATTTAATCTTAAAGAGAGGCCCCCCACCATGATCCCATTTAAGTAACATTAATCATCTAAATGTTACTAAGTGATTGACGTAAACTGGACTTCACAGGAGATTTACTTCCCCATGGTACCACGTCATGCAGACAAGCATGAGCTATTGCAGTAAGGCCTTTGTGTGATTTGATTCAAAGAAACCTCACTGTACAGGAATATTTTAGGAAGATCTGACCCCACAGACCTAGTCATTGCTAAGGACAGAGCTCTATGATATATGGCGTGCAGGTAATACAGATATGATTATTTTTATTTCAACATAAAATGTGTAGCTAGCTTACTTGCATGTACACTAAAAAGTTGCACAGTACTTTACATCTTTTTATTCCATGATTCACTTTATAATCATATAAAGTCTTCCATGCAAATCATTGAATTCAGGTCTTCCAATGACTTGAATGGGCACAGGTGTATAAAATCAATCACCTAGGCATGCTGACTGCTTCTACGAACAAGTAATCGATCGCTCCCAGGAGGTCAGTGAGTTCCAGCATGGTACCATGATAGGATTTCAGCTAATAATATTCAGTCATGACATTTCTTTGCTACTAAATATTCCACAGTAAATCGTTATTGGTATTATAATAAAGTGGAAGCAAATGGGAATGACAGCAATTCAGTCATAAAGTGACAGGCCATGTAAAATCACAGAGCAGTGTCAGCGAATGCTGAGGAGTATAGTGGGCAGAAGTCACCAACTTTCTTCATAGTCAGTCGCCAAGGTCCTCCAAACTTCATGTGGCCAAGCTCAAGAACAGTTTGTTGAGAGCTTCATGGAAGAGGTTTTTGTGGCCGAGCAACTTACGTCACCAAGTGCAATGCCAAGTATTGGATGCAGTGGTGTAAAGCACGCCATTACTGGACTCAGGAGCAGTGCAGACATGGTGGAGGAGGGATTACGGTGTGGGGTTTTCAGGAGGAAAGACATTTTGGACGAGTTAGGCTCGGGTCAGCATACCAAGACAGAACACCTTTGGGATGAATTAGAGCGGAGACTGCAAGCCAGACCTTCTCGTCTGACATCAGTTTCTCATCGTACAAATGTGTTTCTGGATGAATGATCAAAAATTCCCATAAACACACTGCTAAACCTTGCTGGAAACATTCCCAGAAGAGTTGCAGCTGTTGTAGCTGCAAAGAGTGTGCATACATCATATTAAACCCTATGGATTACGAATGGAATGTCACTCAAATTCATATGCGTGTTAAGGCAGACAAGTGAATACTTTGGCAATATAGCGCACATACAGTTTCTTAACTTACTGTATAATGTCTAAATTTTATATTGACCTCAAATACAAAATCAAAACAGGTAAAATCTGAAGCCTATATTTGTAAAAGATAGGTTGAAAGTAGTCTGAAGCTAAAGTGTACTACCTCCCTGTGAGTCAAAATAGTTTTCAGTATCACAAATGGGCACATTAATCAACTAAGACTGTTTGCAGAGCGTCTGGTGGCTGGGCCTCAGTCCATGGGGCCTTGCCGGGCACAGCCCGAAAAAGGGACATCGGCCCATCTTCCTGCAGGCCCACCACCCGCAGGAGGCACCGTAGGGGTCGGCTGCATTGTGAGCCGGGCGGCGGCCAGGAGCAGAGGTCCTGGCGGACTGATCCCTGGTTACCAAGACTTGCACAAAATGTTTTCAGTTAAAAAATGAGATATTCTCATCCAATAGATTCCTTCATATCAGACTAAGAACACAGTGCTTTAATGATAGACTCTTTTTTTTAGTTGCACCACCTTACCTCACTTTTTTCCACATCTGCAAATCTCTGATTACAAAACTGCAGCTGAATTCTAGCTGCCATCTGGTTATATTATTGTTCTATTCCTACATAAAAGCAAGGTTGCTGAGTTCCTATATCATCTGCAGTTAAATTGCCGTGCCGCAGCAACTACAACACTAGCTGTGTTGGAACCTCAGATCTGTGAAGTTATTGCTGGACTCTGAATGCAAGTAACTGAATGTGATTTTTCTCTGATCTAAGTTAATCACAGTTAATCGCACCATTTTCAGAAAAATAAATTGGACATAATCGCCCACTTGACCCCATTTAATCAGAAACTCATAGCAGACTGACTCTGACTTATTGCTTTTCTATCACCATTTTGACACCAAAGTCACTTTGAAGACCGCAAATGGTTGCAGACCTGCTCCTCATCTTCAAAGCAATTGCGTTCTGCAGCAACATTTGAATGGTACTGTCAGAATTTTTTAGAAACAACATCAAAGGATGGCTCCATCCTGCCTTATTTCAGCAGTTCAAACTTCTGCTGGCTGCAAATTGTGTGGGTGATACCATGGTGCTTAATCTTCGCATCATTAAAACAAGAAAGCCTATCCGAGTATTGTTGCTGACTACTCCATCCCTTAATGACCGCAGAGTGTCCATCTTCTCATGGCTGCTTCCAATAGGATAACACATGATGTCACAAAGCTCAAGTCATTTCAAATGGTCTCTTGAACATGACAGTAAGCTCACAAATGGCCTCCATAGCCACCAGATTAGGGATGCAGTGGAACATGAACTGTATGGTGGTACTATCACCAGACCAAAACCTCTGAACAATGTTTTCAGCACCTTGTTGAATTCAGGCTGTTCTGAAGGCAAAACAGAGACCACATTTATTCATAGTAGAAGACATCAAACATTACAATTTTTAAACTGAGAAAATATGTCATTTTAAGATAAATATTAGCACATTTTAGAATTTAATGACAGCAACAGTTCTCAAAGAAGTTGGGACAGGGCCGTATTTATTTTAGGGCCGTTATATGCTTGTTGTACATGCTTGTTCATTTGTTACTTATGCATGTAGCACAACCTTTATAGTGGCTGACTAAGTCTGTTAACGCATTTATCTAAATAACTTGCTCTCTCTTCTATGATAACTACTGATATATCACAAGCACAAAACATGTATTTGTCACCTGTCTCGTGTGCTCTTGGAGGCCCCTCCTGGTATAAGGCCCCCAAGCGGCACCTTAGTCTCCTTATGCCTCAGCTGGCTCTGAAGCTAGTTGCCAGGATATGCTAACATTCGCAGTTAAGATTAAAGGCAAATGTAGTTACATTTTTACTTGTGCTTGTTTTCCATTACAGAAGCAGGAAACTGTTACCATCTGCTCAACAAACTATCAGACTGAATCATGATAGGAGTTCACTTGTTCTCAAAGTTTTTTTATGCTTTTCTATGAAATAATACAATAAAATGACATTGCTGAGATTAAATACATTTGCTTTTGAAAAGAGCGGATGCAACCTTTGTCGGTGTACTCTGATTTTCCAGCAAAAACAATGAAAGCACACTCAGAGACAAGGTTACTGTTCATGTAACCAGGAAGCTAGCGGCGATAACCTCAGTGTTTAGTTTATGCAGTGTGTGCTGATGACACGCGCACACACATGCACAAGCAGAGTCAGACTCAGGGCGAGGGTGTTTATAAACCTCCATCGCTGTGTCCCCTCTTCCTGACACACATACCTTTACCTCCAACATCTCCATTGCACTCTTCAGTTTCTCCTGCTCCTCCTGCCCTCCAGTATCTCAAGAGAAGATTAACACCACTAATATTCACTCACCTCAAGGGCATGCCAGTTGGAAATACATAAACAACCAGCCTGCCCTTTGATCTTTTTCAGATCCTCTCTTCACCTTCCTCTGACTCCCTCCTTTCCGCTCCTTTAAATGTACTTTTTAAAAACTTTTACGCATATAAAAAAGGGCATTTTCATGCTAACACGGTCCATTTGTGAGAAGATCATTTTTTTCAATTCTGCCTACAGGAGTTGCATAAAAGCTTTCTGATATATTCAAACAATAGTGACATTGCTGACAGTTTGGAGCCAGGAGGCCAGAAATGCATCATGGATTAACCGTGATTCAGACTTGAGCCCTCCTCCTATGATGACAGATCATGTGTTTGTGAATTGACAGTTAATTTCTTAGCCTGCTTCTGCATGTGACTCAGAACTGCATCAGACTGTGATAAATTGAAAATGATTTCAAAGTGTAAACAAGTTTAAAGAGGCCAAATATAGCATGTTTGCGCTACCGACCCAACTTTTTAACTTCTACTGTAACACTGCACTGTGACAGAGCAAGAAGTGAGCAGAAAGCTATATTTATTAACACTATGAATGAGTGTACCCATATTTGGTACATAAATCCCACAGTCTACACACACGTTGCCATTGGTTAAAGGAATAAAATAGAATTAAAAAGAGTAGAGTAATAATAGCCATTTGTGCTTATTTTTTCCTCTTTGGCAACTTTAAATTTGGGACAAATTCTATAAAGACTAAGATTTGAGGAAAGGTCATTTACTACTTTTATTGTCACATTGCATGTGCAGGTACACTGGTGCAGCAGATGCAAAAAGGATATACAGAGGTCAGCAGTTGGATATTGCGCAAAACAAGTGGCATTTATGTACAGTATGGAGTGGATAATGTTGAAGTTCTGGTAAGTGACGGTGAGGTGTCTACGAAGTGTTCAGCAGTCTGATGGCCTGATGGAAAACGCTGTCTCTCAGTCTGCTGGTTCGGGACTGGATACTGCAGAACCTCCTGCCTGATGGAAGTAGTCTGAACAGTTTATGCTGAACAGTTTATAGAAAATAACAACACTAACAGTCATGTGAAAAGGACTGGAAGGAAAAAAATTAATACAACCTCACTGCTTCCATAGAAATTAAGAGGGTCAGAAGCAGCCAGGTGCTGGTCTTGAGCATTCAGGTGTGTGTTAATATAGTATCCCTCATGCCCTGCATCAATTTAGTAATCCAATTAGAAAAAGACTGAACAAGCATGGCTTGTTTGGTCAGAAACTAAGCCTCTTGTCTCTACACAGAACAAAGCAGCACGACTTAGGTTTGCCAAGTTGCGTCTAAACAAACCACAAGACGTCTGGAACAGTGTCCTTTGGACAGACAAGACTAAACTGGAAATACTTGGGCAAAATGCACAGCGCCATGATTAGTGACAACCTAGCACAGCATATCAGCCAAACATCAGCCAAACCTTGTCAAGCACGGTGGTGGAGAAATGTATTACTACAACAGAAAACCGTAAGTTTAAAAATAGAACTAGACCTTTGTTCATGGTCACATCTGTCTGAAAATAAAAAACAGATTCGACAAGATTAATGTTGGGCTAAAGCTCCAATCTTTCTCGATGCTCATCAAACTGAAAGCCTGGAGGGTGGGGAGACTTCTCGGGTATTTAAAGGTTTTACGGCGATGGTTGTCTTTGTCTCACAGACTGTCTCCACCCTGTCTCTCTGCAGCTGAAACTGCATCTCGGAGCTACTACAAGAGCTTCCCTCTCATGGATTTCTCCCACTACCAGCCTGTAGCCCCGCCTGCCTTCCAGCCTGTGCCCATTCCACCTAAAGAGAAATCATACATCCATCACCAACCCCTGCCAGCACACCACGATATCCACTCCCCTCTTTCAATCTCCATCCCCCCCAGCCACCTCAAGCAATCACGCCTCTCTAAGACAACCACACACCCGTTTCTCTCCAACTCGGCCTTCAAAGCATGGGAGCCAAACGCCCGCCATGTCCACAGGCAGACCTCCGCCCCAGCGCATGCTTCCACCTCTCTGCACAGCTCCACCCGGAGACACAACTACTCAACCCGGAGGCAGCAGAGCACAGAGAATGTCCCAGATCTCTATACTCAACCCTATGGAGGGATGTATGGAGGAACTGGAGGGGGAGCAGGACAGGGGCCACATGTCCAGGGGCAACATCCATCTCAACCCACTTATTACCACCACACCAGACAGAAGAGCTACTCCACCCACAGTGCAAATGAGGTGACTGTCTGAGCGGCAGCAACTCAGAGTGCGGCCTTCCACCATATTTAACACAAAAACGAAAACGCTTTAGCGTAAGACAAAAGGGCCAGAGTTTGGGACAGCATGTCCAACATGTGGTTAATTAAACAAGGAGTTTTTTTAAGACACGAAAAAATGAAAAGGGGTGTTTTCATAAGAGGAAACAGTCAGGTTCAGGAGGAAAACAGTGCAGAACCACCACTTTGTAGAAAATGGACTGTGCTGGTAAAGGTTATTACCGCACTTGACCAAATGTCTCGTATAATAAATGTTTAGATTTCACCCAAGGATATCTCAAATCCACTCTCAGGCTTCAATAGGCTGCAAAGCTATAAAAATGTCCAACTACTAAAGATTTTCCACTACAGTGTGCTTCAATTGCGGTTGTACAGGCCATATGGTACGGAGCCTCGCAAGGGACATGTTAGAAAAAAAAATAAAGATGAACATTTGCGAGATCTCGCAAATGTTTTAGTCGCATCCTTCAGAGGCCGCCAGCTCGTAGCCGACCGGGAGGTCGAGGCACGATGTGCCGGGAGTGCGGTGTTCCCCCCGGCTGTAGTGCACCTCAACCTCCCTTTAGCTTCAAGCTGGTGGGTAACAGACGTCTCCGAAAACGCCGGAGCACTTTTGCAAATATGTGATCTCTTGATAAACCGGGCAGATATTTGAAGTTTACACAGCTACATTCACGCCTAAAAATATCTTAAAAGTTTATTTTGTGACCCAGAAAGAGTAATATTAAAACTAACTAGCTGTCGCCATTGTTGGAAACGAATTGGCTGGGCCATGCTATGAATTCTGGGGGAGGTTGGGTCACAAAAGATACACTTTTGCGAGATCTTGCAAAAGTTCATCTTAATTTTTTCTCCCATGTCCCTTGCGGGGCTCCATAATATAGAAACATGGGCAGAACAAAAGAACAACAAAATACTACTGCCGGCCACTCTAGAGGGGAGGGCTTGATACTTCGAGTCAAATTAAGCAAAAAGAAACAGTCAGATTGTATTATTCAAAATAATTCTACCTGAGCACAGGTGAAGCAGGTGATCAGTACATGTGGCTACCAATTTAGCTAGAAAAAAAAAATCTAATTCCATTCCAAAGAAATAGTCACAGCTAGCATGCAGCTATTTTGACTCAAGTGTAGCTTTCTGTGTACTCTTTTTTTTTGTCAGTCACCTGCAAATGTTAGACCTCAGGAACATTGGAAGTGTTCATGTCATTTAATGGGAACTCTGTCTGTGTTCTCCTACTCACTACCTCCTCCACTTTAAAGGAACTCATTGTAAATGATAATAGTTTGAAAACTTTTTTGAAATTAATGTTATCAAAAGAAACCCAAGAGCTGTTTTACTTTGAGGTGACAGTGCTAGCTACTGCACCTTGCTCCTTCTCCTGAGAAGCACAGGTATGAAGCACACTAACGCAGACAGTTAGCCTAGTTTAGCAATAACAACAATTTCTTGCTGGGAAATTATCAAACTGATGTTTTTCATCTACACTAAAGTATTTATCTGGATTAAACAAATGTATAAAATCTCTGTGGCTAATGGTGTGTTCCATTTGAAGTCAAAAGTTGGAATTTAGGAGTTCATAATTGGAATTTTCACCCACCCAAGTTAAATTTCCACCTTAGAAAGATGGAATAGCATCACCAACCTCAACTTCATAATCCAAGATGGTTTCAGAGCATGTAAATGTATAAAATCTATATTATGATGCTAATGCTAATGCTAATGATACATGAATAGCTCTGCCTCTTGCTTGCTTTTGCTTTTATAGCTTTTCTTAATTTACTACAGGGACGTGCTCTACTCGGGAGATCTCTAATAACTCTGACATCTGAGGCAAATGGAACGCAGCATTAATAATGAAGCCCATGAGGAAGTTTTGGAAACTGCAGTTCCTCAAATGGCCACTTGAGGTTGGCTCTTAAAAGAGAGTTAATCATTGGCATTCATGTTTAAAAAAAAACCCCAACTTGGGCTGGTGTACAAATGAATTAAAAATAAGTTCTTTTGATGGTGAGCCAATTGGAGCTGGCTTAGTTTAAGAGTTTTCTCATTGTGATCTATATAGATATCATCAACCATTCAGTGCAATCGTCGAGGTAAAAGTTCAGGTAATTTTCAGGCCCCACAAGCTTTTGTGTGCATCAAGTTACCTCCTGTTTATCTTGTAAAAACACCTCTTCTATTTTGCAGCTCTCAGTCTACCTCCATGCACAGCTGTTTTCTCCTTGTCCCTTTTTCTCCCACCAATTTTCTGAGATGAAGCGCTTTGCATTCTTCGCCATCAGGCCAAGCATACGGGGACAGCATCCCCGTGGGTCACATTAACTGACGGTGAGGACAATGGCACCATCATGTCAGGTCCCATCAGCCTCCATCCTAGCTAGAGAAAAGAAGAGAAGGAAAGAGAGGAAGCGCGTAAGAGCCAGAGGCTCAAACTCTTTAGAAAGGAGAGAAAAGGAGGAAAGAGAACAGGAAAATAAAAAACAAACACACTGCTGCATGTTTTCCTTCCTTGGGGGAAGGAGTCAGTGTGGATCTGGTCTCCTACTATTGAACTGTCTGAGGCATAATTCAGAGTGTGCAGATGCCTGTATGTAATTTCTAACCTACAGGCGCCATTGCGGGAAAGTTTTCTGAGGCGTTTCCAGCCCTGGAGCGTTAGACATTTCTCATTTCATCTCTGAATCCCGGACAGCAAAGGACACTGTGCAGAGTTGCAGCTGTTGATTTAAACATTCAACAGTTTTTGCATTGCTTCCACTGCACTTGTTGGTGAAGATGTACAGCTGGAACACCCTCAGGAGATGTACAATGTACGACACATGTGTCCAGAAATGGTTCCATGAGGTTCGTGAATTGAATTTGTGCCGAAAGAGCTGAGGGGGGAACTTTCCTTCGATTATGTAGCAGCTGAATTAAGAGGCAGGAAAAAAGGTTGCTGTAGGTTAAATTGAGTCAAGACATTGGGCAACGCATGCAAAACAACACAGCTGCTAAATAAAGACCAAATATAGCTCTACAGCAACACATAGATGCACTGTTGGTCAAATGCAATTCTGCAGTACGGTATTTTAAACATGAAATCAAGATACTAAACAATAAGAATGTTATATGGTTAATATTTTCCTAAATGAAGGGTCCGTATATGAGTCCTTAACAATATGTCATAAGAAGACAGGTGAACAAAACAATCTGACCTATTCTGCCCTTTTGAGCAGACCAAAATTTTAACAACTCTTCCAAATGATCGAGAGGAACATTTTATTTTGGTCTCTACCCAAATTAAAGTTTAACACTTTCTCTCCTCTCACCTATATTTGTCTGTCTGCTAAGTTTTGGAGTTGTTTTCCACTGGAACAGCTGCCTGATGGAACAAGCTTGAATTTTTTTAAGACACCAAAATGTTCTGTTAAGCTGGACATTTGCATCATAATTCATTTTTGGTTCATCTCTCCATATGGACCTATTCATATTCCACCTGAACTTCTTAATAAAACAAAATACACGAGGTTTAAAATCTTGCCACCAGGCTTACAGTAGTTATCATTTATCCCTGGAGAAATGAGCAAGAAAAGCAGCAACTTTGAAAATTTTCAATTTTAAAGGGATTTGATAATCTGTGACTAGCACTGTTGTCAGCTGCTGTCATGGAGGCATTCGTAACAGGGGTTTTAAACTGTTCATTTGAACCATGTGGAGAAATGTCAGAAGTTTTGATAATAGGTAAAAGTACAGTAAATGTATATTTGGTGTCTTTTGTCAGCCAAAATCTGTCATTAATGGGGATCTAGTATCATATTTTAATTTTGGACTTAATCGCACAGCAACCCATAGCTTGAAGCAATCCTCACATGTTTTATAATGAGCCTTAGTGCAGCCCCTTGATCCACTGTTCTAACGCCTCTCCCTTTAACCCATCCTCCCAACTTTGTTCTGATTGGTTGCCCCTTGCAAACAGAAGGTTGAGCTTCTTTATCCATAGCTGGAGCTATGTGCCTGAAATGACCATAACAGAGACATGTTTAACATAAGTAGCCACCACTGTAACAGTACATGAGTGACAGAAAATAATAAAAAACACACCGCAGGTCTCATTTAACACTGTTTCTAATACTCAGTCTGGTACATAAGCTAAGTGCAAGTCTAACCTGGTATTTATGAAGGCTCGAGCCACATTCACCTACTCTAAGCACTTCAAATCGCTTAACCTGTCATATCCTCCTGAGATCCAGCCTGTTCATTTATGTCTCCTGTAATGGACATTTGTTTTTGGTCTATATCTTTTTACTTATTTGAGCTAACTTAATAAGTCATGATGTGCTCAATAGAAGATATCCTGGCCTTTCCGATGATATCTCATGTGTTTGGGTGAAAACGTTAAACTGGAAGATACTTTTTTCCTCTGTTTGCAGGAGGGTATAGTCACACCTACTGCCCGCACACTGACATCACCCGTTAACATGCATGTCTTCGGACTGCAGAAGGAAACTGAAGTAAACCCAAATCTAATAGGAGCAGCAGAGATCAGCGAGACAAACACCTGCATCATTCACAATGATGTCACATTAAGTGAATGGCATTTAGAGCTCTGTGGCTCCTGCTGTGTCAAGAAAACAAAAAAAACAGGCAACTCTTTCACCGCACCCTCTCTTGTCTTCATTCCCTTGTATGTAAACACAAGAAGGACACGTCTGTAATTATGCGATTCCCCTCTTCAACAGCGCAGTGTCCTGGGCAGGCATCCGTTTCCCCTCCAAACGGTCGGTGTTGTGGGTTTAAAATGTTGAGAGCTGCTGCTTTTTTCCCCTTAAACAATAGCAGTTTAGTTCTTTGCAGTGAACAAGTGCTTCCAATGCTTTTCCCCTGTGGTATGGAAAACTGCATTTTTCTCCACCTGATCTTCTAGTCTTGATGAAACAAACCGCTTTTTCACGTCTTTGTGATAAATTCTTGACACATTTTGTACATTATTACTCCGCCTTTTGTTGATTTTTGTTTTATGTAGTGCAACCACCATCTGGGAATCATTTTGATTTGATTTATGACTATTGTGTAAATATTTTTATTTATTGGATTTCCTATATATTTTATTTATATAAGGGCTGTATGAACAGAGAGTATTTATTATTAGTAGTAGTATTACTGCTGTCAGGTTTTAACAGAATATTTGACTTTTTGTTGGCAGAGTTGGGCAATAGACAGGCCTTTTCACATAAGTGGCAAAACACAGTGGCACAAACGAACTGCAGTACCTCTGTCTAAGCCACTGGTGAGGTCTATATGGCCAGAAGTGGTGAGAAGGAACTAGATGTGCTTTGGAACATTTGTCCGCATGTTTAAAACTGGAAGAATTATTTTTTGCTGGGTAAAGACTGCTGAGTTTACACCACTTTGGCTCCCTCAGTTACTGCAAGTAATAAAATATAATAGATACAGATGAAGTCAGAGTGTATTGGAGAGAAATACAGTATGTAGTGTTTATGCTGTATGTATCCATACTTCTTACTACAACAGAACAGCTACTTTATACCCAAAATATTCTAGAGATGTTGTTTCTAACAGACTGTTTAGAAGACACTTTTAATGATGAACTATTAAATATTGATATTAAAGAAAATTTTGAGTTTGGTTTGATTGGTTTTCATATGAAATTAATATTAGACTTCTGATCCTCATGGGCATACCACTTCAGACCACTGATAAATTGGCAGCTCTCATTTCATCAGACAAATATTGTCATTTAGTGAACTTTCTGGAAACTTTTTCTTGGAGCAGCTGGAGTAAAATGTGTTTACTTCAGAGGTAGCAGGTTCAGTACATGCTGAATATTTGAAGCAGCGTCACTCACACAAATATTTGGTCATTTAAAAACATTTAATAGTCGACCTGCCTGACTGACAAATACAGCTGATGCTGCAGGACTGATCCTGTAGTGCCACCTTGTGGCTGCTCTTTATATTACATGGAACGAGAGCAGTAGCAGTTTTGAGTCCTGGAAACTTGATTTCTGAAGCGAATCAGGGATTGCTACTAATGACATACAGTGCAAAAGTCTGGCGCTGCCTCTCTTTCCTTTATATTTTGCCAGGAAAATGGAAATAGGTGCAGAAAAACTGTGTTTGTACAATTTTACCGAGGTTTGAAAGTTAGTACTTGGTATAAACACCTTTATTCTTTAACACAAAAGAAGCAAAACATGAAGAATTTAGAAGTGGGTTAAGATGCTTGATGAATACTATAGAACTGAAGAGAAAACATTTTAATAAAGTCAACAGAAAAGTCTTCAGAGAATAACAATTTTAATGGAAGATAGTATTTGAAAATGTCACACATTTAATAAAGTGCAGAGTTAAACATTTGCCTTGTGAGGTCTAGATCATCATCAATGATCACCCCAGTTTAAACAGCCCAGGATACCACCTATGATGGTTTAGATGTCAGACGAACATATATATTAATCGTTTTAAGACAAACATTTGTCTAAACCACGTGTGACCCTCTGCTTGTAAGCAAACATCTTTTTTTTTTTTTTTTTAAAGTACATTTTCCCCCCTCAACAAATTCAGGTTCAATTCAGTGATTTTAGATTCACAATCTGAATAAACTAAAGACCTATTTATATTTGAATATAAGCAAAACGATGGCCTTTTTGAGACTTGTGCATTAATGATCTACGCAGGATCAGGATGGTGAAGGAGCAACAGGTTAAACAATATTTAGAGTAAACATGTCCCAAACACAACAATTAAACACAGTTTGCCAAAACAGTGATGGAGGTAAGTGGTTGATACGCATAGTTTTCCTATGCCTGGTTTAATCATGCAAATATAAACAGTCAAATATGCATAGTGTATATGAAACAGTGCGTCTTTATAAACTGAGAAAACTCTAAACCCGACAAAGCAAATGAAAGCTGTAAAGCTGAGTGGTCCTGAATTTAAAAAAAATATAATTCCCTGTGTTCATCAGATGTTCCTGGACGTGGCATTCTGAAGATAAAACTTTGGTCAAACGATACTTTTAAAGCCTGACGAGCCGGCAGAACGGGTTTAACTGAGCTGGCCTTGAAATGCATCCTGTTCTAATAACTACAGGAATACAAACAGTAAAAATAAACAAATAAAAAGAATTAAGGCACCAGATTACATTTTTTCTCCCTCTCCACCAAGTTCCATGAAATTCAAGTTAGTAGTTTTTACATTATTGGGATGACGGACAGAAAAAGTGGAAACGATTTCACACCCACACTGAAGAAAAGGCAGAACACAGCATGGCACGTTAAATAAACAAACTGACCGAAATGTGACAATAGACTAAGGAACAAATACCTCATTTTTGGCATTGGACTCAAATTCAGATTTGGATTTCTGCCAAAACAACTGAACTTAAAGTATCCTGTTACATCCTGGCACTTTGTGCATTTTGATAGCAATTTGTTACCAGCGTAACACAATCAGAGTCTTTACACCACCATTTTCAACATGAATATTTTTTGTAATAAAGTCTTAGAGCAAGAAGTATAAGCCTTGCCAGTGATCTTTAAATGCCACTAGGCACTTATTTGAGTAGTTCCTAAACTAATTTTATTTTAAAAAGTCACTATAAAAACTTCACATATAGATAAATATCAAAGAAAAGGTTTCCTTTAATTCCATAAATGTCAGATTTTAAATTGGGAGTCCTTACATGCCATCTCTCTGCCTCACAAGATCTCTGGAGAAAGACACAAAAAGATCTGCTGTCCATGAAAACTATTACAAATTCTCATTATCTGTGTGAATGATTAAAACAGAGACATCCTTTAGACACATTAAAACAGAAGGATTGGAAGACAAGGCCAGTGCTGGTTATGTGATGATAGTACGATTCATGGATTCTTCATCATTCGATTTTTTTGAGCAGTCATCTAACTATAATAAACTTTGTGACAGACTGCCACAATGACAGAGAGACATACTGGAGCACCTCGTGAGAGGATGACAATACCTGTTGAAAACGCCTCTCGTAAGTAGCAGTGCATGAGAGGATGAATCCTGCCTCTAAAATGACAACTTTGAATACTAATCCAGAGGATATGCATGTATAGTGATCCTGCTGACTAGTGGTGCAACGGATCACGGTTGATCCGTAATCCGAACCGATCCCACTCCACGGTTCAGCACGGACGTGATCCAAAGATTCGAAAAAAAAAAAAAAAAAGTATGTGTATGGTCCGCGTGGTGGGTCTGTCAAGCGATAGTTATGGCCAGCGCTAGCGGTCAAAGTGGAGAAGCAGAGGAGTTTGCGGTATTTGCTGCCCAGTCCGACCGGGCTAAAGCTATTACAAAAGCTACTGGGGTGTTTAGCTGCAGACGGGAGGGCGTATTCCGTTGTGCAAAACAAGGGGTTTAAACTATGATCAACGTGCTTGAGCCACGCTATGATATCCTGTTCGCGTCAACTTTAGTGGCAAGATCGTTCCAAGCATGTATGAGCAGGAAAAGTTTAAAGTTACGGCTGAACTGTCCCAGGCATCTTCTGTTGCCCTAACTACTACAAATGGGTGGAGCTCCAGGGCAACGGAAAGCCACGTGACCGTGACAGCTCATTATATCACAGCGGAGTGCGATATAATGTATTATTGTAGGGTCTACCTTACAATATAAAGCACCTTGAGGCGACTGTTGTTGTGATTTGGCGCTTTATAAATACAACTGAATTAAATGGTAGATACAAAGACTGTACTGCCCTATATTGTACCAGAATTTTTTTTAAATAATTGCGTGGAATGAGTCTTGAGTTGAATGTTTTTAACCGGCAAAAAATACTTCAATAAGTAAATGTTAAATTTTTGTCTTTTTTCGCCGATCCAAAAATTGATCCGATCCGTGACTTAAAACCATGATCCGATCCGAACCGTGAGATTTTTGATCCGTTGCACCACTACTGCTGACCCAAGAAAACGTAATCTTAAACACGTTAATGTACACAAACAAGTATAAGACCCATTTTTAGTCCCCTGTCCACAGAGTTTAGCACACCTTCACCCCTCGCATACACCTCAGAGTATGTTGAACAACACCATAAAAGTCAATAACAATAAGTGATGGCTGATTAAATATAGAAGTGACTTGCCAGCCACATGCAGGGATGTTATCAGTTATCTTCTAAAATCCACGACTCGGTCTATCATTGCCCAGCCAGGTTGTTGCCTCCAGGATTTATGACCATGGAATCCAGGAAGGGACGGAGAGCCTGGCCAAATGGTCTGTGAGGAAATACAGCAGAGAGTACAGTTACATTACAAACCAAAGTATTAGTCAGTTATATCATACAAGAACAGCAAACACTTAATACCACAAGAGTAATCGTTCAAAAGAGACGCAGGATGAAATGATTGTACAGCATACATCTTTAATGTCTTTAAATAACAAGAATTGGGCACTTAAGTTTCCATTTATTTCGGATTTTTCTACAAACGACACCGGGTCAAAATTAAATCACTCACTTAAATCTTTAATAAGTGGAGCTGAAAGTTCTACGTGTGAAAAAGGCCAATAAATGTCTGAAAGTGATCACAGCTGACCAAAATTAGTAGTTTATTTTGGGCAGTGTAAAAATAGTTTTCTCATTCTCAGTGTTTTGAGTGTTTCTCAACCCAGGTCTCTAATTTTTGACAACTGTACATTCATATTGTAATGGTGTATTTAATACAACATTCAGGGTGCATATAATTTCAAATGCATTTTTCCATTTATATTTATTATCTATAATATAATTGATATTATTATGCATTTTTAGTATTTTGCCATCAGTATCAGCAGAGACTCAATTTGACTGCACAGAATTAAGAAGCTTACGTGGCGAGGATGTCAGATGGAAGGTCTGTGATGTACGATGGGATCTTTCTGCCTGTCAGGAATTGAGCCACTTCACTGCTGAAAGTGTTGCAGTTGTTCTCAAACAAGTTGTAATTGGCACCTCTGCAACAAATGAAGGAGGAAGTCAGAGGAGGGAAGAAGAAGGAGTTCAAAGCGCAGAGAGAGGGAGAGAGAGGTGCACCACAGGGTGGAGAAAAGCAGGTGAGTAGCAGGAAGTGATGAGACAGAAACATTTTAAATGCAAAATAATGAGGGGGAAGAACACTATATGTACATTTTAGCTCATTCCTAAAAACTATTATTTAGACTCAAACAGGGCAGTAACGCATGAGGCTTGTTCTGTGCATTCAAGCTATGCACTTAATTCTACTGGTGCTACTTAAAAACAAATCATTTGTAACTGTTTGGTTCAGTTGTATTTTTCCAAAACAACAACAATAATAACAATTATAATAATAAAGATCTCATCATCTTCTTTTACCTGTACTTGGACTCTCCCAGTGAAGTTAAATACTCCTTAAAAAGGTCTTCAGGCACTTCAGTGGAGCCCATATCTACTACAGAATCAGGCGGCCCCAACAAGGTGCCTCCCTAGGAGACAAACAGATGCACACTTCAGTGACTTGTCACTGAGATTCTGACACAAGTTTCTTGATTTTGTGTCTAGATCAAACGGCTTTAAAGTGCACTGTTTATATGAGAGGATGGTGCTGATTCTTACAGGTGGACAATTGGTGATGCCTGTTGATCCACCAAAGTAGTGCTCTTTCCCGTGGACCACAACACCCGTGTGCCTGTTAGACGCCAATGCATTTGTTTTTTAAACAGTGGTATTAAAGTACTTAACTGCAGCTCAGGTGCTCAGTAAGAATACTTTTTATAGAACTTTCTTTATGTAAACTCACCATATCCCATCAATATGTCTCCCTGTAAAGATAAAATAATTTAAATTACGATCAACTTTTTCCGCCCTTAGAAATCAACAACTTTCACTTCCGAAGCATCCCACTGAGTCATGACAGAGTTTGTCAGAAACTCACCCAGCATGGAAGCACTCAGCTGACGGGCCATCCCTCTGGACAGGTCATAAACGTAAAGTTTTACTGGATAAGAATCAGTTTGGTCCATGATAACGCAAAACGATTTATTCGAAACGACAATGCAGCTAACCTTCTAGAAAGTTACTTAGTCACTACAGAGTTCCCAGCTAGCTAGCTTCCCGGTGGCAAAGAAAAGTTTAATAAACCTTCTGGTGGTGGAACTGTGAGAAATAATAAATTCAGGCTACAGGCTGTTTAAAATGCTAGTAATAACTGTAAAATAAAAAAGTAAATGTAAAACCTAGCTCGAAGTTGCCAGGAGTCAATTCCAGTGCTGTGTCACTGTCTATCAACGATAACGCTACTGTCCTATCACGTGAACAGCAGGCTTCCGGCTTTAGGGTAAATAAACCCCGCGTTTTTAAACGGGATTGGCCAATACCTTAGATTGGCAGATAAACTGCCAATAGACGATAAGACATCCAGTAGGCGTTTGAACTGTGCTTGTTCACGTATCTGAACGCGCCAGTGATTAAAACTAGCCTGGACTTGTGTGCAGAAAGGAGAAGCACACGGTAAGTGACGGAATTCTCTGACGAAAACTGTGTATGTATTTCATTTATGTTGTAAGTTTAGGCTATCAATTTTCGTGCCTCATTAGACCCATAACATTGTTACATAGTTGGCTCCTAAATGGAAATGGCACGAAAAGTGGCTAATTACAAGCTAAGCTAGCTAACATTTGCTAGCTAAAGTTAAAAACAGTTAATTAAACATTAGTAATGCGTTAACGAGACATTAAAACTGTTTTGAAATGCCTTGTCGTGTGCATAATAATTATTACCTGGTGAAAGTTGCACCATATGTTTATTTGTAGGAGTACATAGGATGCACTTTTTAAATACGCCACAGAAAAGCCTTCTGCCATTGATACTTTGTTTGAATCTAGTGTTGTAAATGCGGCAGTCTTTTATCCCTGGTTTTCACAGTAAATCCTGAGACGGGACTGAAGGCAGCACCAATGGCAGAGTGGAACGCCTACTACCAAAACGAGGATGAGGAGGGAGAGCAAGAAGAAGGGGAGCAGTCAGGGGGTAAAAGGAAAAACCGCTACTCAACGCTTATTTACACCGCTGTGCAAAAGTCTTGAGCCACCACTTATTTGTTTATATTTAGCTTCCTAAGAGCCCCACTTTGTTGTGTTTTGTGTAATAGCTTTCCAGGTTTTATGAAGGTCTTTCAAAGTTTTTCTTTAAACATTGGCTGCTTTCCCCCCTTTATTAACTCCAGTTCTTGAACCTGGCAATTTTCAGAGGAATGCTTTTAATTCTTAATTCACTTAACACTGACTTATAAATCATTCAGGTGTAGAAAGGCAACTAACAATAAAAGTTCAGCTGCAGAGTTAGGTGAGGCATCATCAATATGGAAGAACGGTCGTAAATCACAGCGGCATAGCTCCATATATTAAACGTCAGGGCTGATATAAGAGCATAAAATATAATACAACGTAGGCAGGTAGAAGTCAAGCCGAGCAATTGCGCCATCTTCCTGTCACAGTCAGGAAGTTTGAATGTTCTTCAAGAAGCCTGGAGAACTACTCCTAAAGACTACTTAATGAAATGACAAGAAACTTACCTTAGAGAGTTAGGGTTGTGTTGATGAATAAAAGTTGGCATACCAAATATTGACTTTCAAGTTTGTAAAATAGTATAAACTGACCTTTGTGAGAATACTTGCTTTATATACTGTATTTCCTTGTATCTTTGCACATGTTTCAATAAATGCTGCACCTGGCAAAAAGTCAAGAATTGAGGGGTGGCTCAGGATTTCTTAAATGATACTTTTGCTGTTATCACATTTTATTATCACATTTTAGTTATTAAAATCTACTTCAGCACAAGTAAAATGTTGGCATGTAGCATTGATACAAAAAGTGATACTGAAGTGACAACAGAATAAACCAGGTCTCCATCTTCAATAGGAGACTACAAAATTACAGGGAGAGACAGCTTGGTGTTCTTGGTTGATGCCTCCAAGGAGATGTTCATCAAAGGGGAAGACGGGGAACCCTCCAACTTTGATATGACCATGCAGGTGAGATGGCTGGTTATCTTTTTCTTTTGCTAGTTTTAATTTTATAGTAGTTATTTCGCTCTGCTTCGTATAGCAACCTTGTAACAATGATGGTTTGTGTGCTGCTCTTGTAGGTTGTGCGCACTGTGTACACCAGTAAGATCATCAGTAGCGACAGGGACCTGGTGGCTCTGGTTTTCTACGGCACAGAGCAGAGCAAGAACCCCAGAAACTCATTTAAGCATGTCTATGTGTACCATGATCTCAATGAGCCTGGTAAGATGCAGCTCTTTGAAACAAACACATAATTACACTTTATTTTGTTATTGTTTTGTTTCAAACACAAATGTAGGCAATCTTCTTATCTGCAGTTCTTTTTCCTCTTTTTTTTTTCTTTATTTCAGACCAAAACTTCAAAAGAGCAGAGCAAAGCTGCAGTCAATATTGGCTCATACTTCCTCAGTAGTTTGTAAACTGCTGAACATATCTTTCTTATACCCTTGTCTGTCTCTTGCTTTGGACAGGTGCAAAGCGAGTCCAGGAGGTGGATGCTCTGCGGGGGGAAAAAGGTGCCAAGCTGGCGGCAGAGACCATAGGCAGTGGAGAGACATCATTAGGAGATGCTCTGTGGTGCTGTGCCAACCTCTACAGTGACATCAAGCTCCGCCTCTCCCACAAGCGGCTTATGATTTTCACGTGCAGGGATGAACCACACGGAGGCGACAGCGTGAAAGATCGACAGGCTCGCACCAAGGCCAGTGATCTCAAGGAGACTGGTGGGTCTAAAAGAAGCTATTCACGCAAGCCCTTTTAACTGTAAATTTTATCACTGCCGCTCTGCTTTTATAATTGATTAACTTTACCAGCCTTTCGGGTTTCTATCTTCTGCTAATTCTGCAAGTTCACATTATTTTACTGAAGTGTGATGATTTGTTATCGTTGGTAATTGTGTATGTGGGCTGTCTTCCCTCGACCTTCTTCTTTTAGGCGTCGTTATTGATTTAATGCACCTGATGAAACCGGGGGGCTTCAACATCTCGCTCTTCTTTTGTGACATTGTAAGTCCACCAGAGGATGAGAGTGAGATGGGGCTGCAGCTGCAGCCTTCTGACAAGCTGGAGGACCTCCAGAAACGGGTGCGGGCCAAAGAGCTGAAGAAAAGAACCTTGGCAAGGCAAGCAATGGCTTTCTTTGTCTCCATAGCGTATTTATTTACCTTTTCCTCTTGGCTGTTCTTTACACTGTCTATTCTTTCTGCTGTCTTTAGGTTAAACCTGTGCCTCGGGGAGGGCATAAATGTAGCCGTGGGAATTTATGCAACTGCTGTGGCAGCTCGCAAACCAGGTTCCATCAAACTTTACAGGGAAACCAACGAGCCAGTCCGCAGCAAAACTCGAACCTTCCACACCCAAACTGGCAGTCTGCTGCTGCCCAGTGAGATAAAGAAAGCCCAGGTAATGAAAATCTCGTGATCCCAATCGAAAGCAGTGCTATGTTTATTCCATTATTTGAGTGCTTTTGATTTTTATTTTTTTAAGATTTAACTTACACATGAAAACTCCACTTTATCTGTGTGTGTTGTGTAGTATTATGGTGGTAAAGAGATTGTGATGGAGAGGGACGAGGTGGATGCCATTAAGAAGTTTGATGACCCTGGATTGTTTCTGATTGGATTCAAACCGATGGAAAAGCTCAAACTGCTTCACCATATCCGGCCTGCTGTCTTCCTCTATCCTGAGGAGGATGAGGTGAAAGGTAGAACTGTGTGTGCAGTCTGATTTAATTCTAGGAAGGAAGAATAAAACCACCACAGTGTTGACTCTGGATATTTCTAAATATTTTTTCAAATAAAGGTCATAGTCAACTTAACTTAACTTAAGTTTCACTCATCTACACCCTGCATGCAAAGACTCTTTGTTCCAAGAACGCTGAGTTAAAGCTGAGTTATTTGATAAAATAAAATAGAATTGATGATGGGTTTAAAGTAAAAGCTTTAATTAAATTGTAAGCAGCTATAAAAATTGTCTGTTCAGTCATAGTAAATGTGGATCTCATTGATACTGAATCAGATATCCTGTGATTTTTATTTATTTATTTATTTATTTATTTTTACTCAAGGCAGTTCATGTCTGTTCTCCGCCTTGCTGAAGAAGTGCAGCGAGAGGAACGTGTTCGCTCTGTGCCGTTTCATCTCCCGCAGAAACTATCCACCTCGGTTTGTTGCCCTATTGCCTCAGAATGAGGAGCTCGGCGAGGGGAAAGTACAGATTACACCACCAGGTAATGTGGTGCTGGGGTCAAGATGGCTAATTACATTTAATTATTTTAGCTTCTTTAAGTGCAACTTCAGAGTCTTTACAGCTTTTAGCAAAAATAACTAAATTTTACAGTAATACAGAGAACTCGCAAATACATAAATATTACTTAAACATTTGAACTTAGTTGTGTGTAATTAACTGCAGTGTGACGCGTCTTGTCTGCTCATGACTTTACCAGGTTTTAACGTCATCTACCTGCCGTTTGCCGATGATTTGCGGACTCTGGACCCTCCGCAGTTTCCCTCGGCCTCACAAACACAGGTGGACAAGATGAAAGAGATTGTCTCCAAACTCAGGTTCAAATACAGGTAACTCTAGAGCCCTTTTTTTTTTTTTTTTTTAACAGGGAAAACTGAGGAGTTATATCAAATTTCATAAAACTAACAACAAGAAGTACTCTGGTTTATAGCAGAGTCATGCATTTCCTTTTTTTGTTTTTTGCGTAACCACTAATATTATTTTCACACTCTGTAATGTCATGCAGGAGTGAAGGTTTTGAGAACCCAGTCATCCAGCAGCATTTTAGGAACCTGGAGGCCTTGGCTCTGGATATGATGGCTCCAGAGGAAATTGAGGATCTCATCAGTAAGATGCAGACCTAAACACAGATCCCAGTTTCCTTTTGTGACTGCTAGAGTAATTCTGCTCATCGCGCTCTTTCTCTTCCTCAGTGCCAAAGGTTGACCAAATAGACCAGCGTCTGGGTCCTCTGGTCCAGGAGTTCAAAGATCTGGTCTACCCTGCCTACTACAATCCAGAGAGCAAGCCACCTGCCAAACGCAAAACAGGTCAGAGCATGAACCATCAGTGAAACTACGTAAAGTTATGTGCTAGTATGTGTTGTGAATTACATCCCAAGCAAAATGTTTCCAGGTAGTCAGATTGACTTATTAATAACTTGCATCATTCAGTAGTTTGGGAATTCTGTGATTTGATAAATCTGATTATTCTTTTACTCCATGAACTCGCAGCTGA